TCGACTTGTCCGCGGCCGCCAAGGCGACCTGGCCCGACGCTGGAGGCCCTAGACCCGCCGAGAACAACGGGGCCCAGGGGGGCTGAATCCTCGTGATAGGGGAACCCCAGGTGCGCGATAATCGTCGAGCTCGCGCGCGTTTTCTGGCGCGGCGCTCTCAGCGTCTCAAGCGGGTCGCGCCCTCGACTCTGGCGGGTGGAATCTTTAGTTTGTCGGGTGCCCTTGCTGGGGCGCAACGGGTTTACTTGTGTTTTTGGGGCATCGTGTTCAGCGATGTTCGCTGCCCCGACAGGCGGCGAGGAGATGCGCCGTTTGCCGCGGCCCCCCCAAAGCGACGCGAGATTCGCAATGCCGCGGAGGGGGCGTCGGTGGTGGACGCCAAGTCTCTATTCGACATCTTGGTTAAGAGCCCTGGGGGGAAAGGCGGACGGTCGGACTTCGATGGAAATGTCCATCGCGCGAGACACCATGTCCAAAGAAGGTGGTTTCATTCGGTGGATGACTCAATGCCGAATGCCAGCGGAGTGCCTCGCCCATCTGGCCCCCCAGAGAGCAAGCCAAGCTTTGACAGACTTGATTGCACGAGGCTCGATTATTCTAGAGGACGAGAACGGCACGCTCGACGAGCGGTCTCTCAATCTGGCGAAGAGGTTCCGCAGTCGGATGGCCTCCCATAAATCAGGGGCATAAAAAACGCCCCTACCCTGGTTTACGAGGCGCTGTGCGCTGAAACTCCTGTGGGCTGACAGGGTAAACCCTGCGTGAGGTGCCGCGTCCTGGCGGCTCTAGGCGCTGGGGGTTCCCAGGAGGTTTACAGACCACGCACTTGTAACCCAGGGTAGGGTCGTTTTTACCTAACAGCGAAGACTGATAGGTTTCTAGTTGACTCAAAAGAGCTCACAGATCACTCCACAGGGGGGTCCGGGCAGGTGTTGGGGAGTTGCCGGGCGGCAGGGTGCCGGGCTCGTTTTTCACCAACAGTCACACACTTCGTGCTCTTCGACTTCCCAGAACTCCATTCCCAGGCCACATTCTCAATACCCGGATGCAACAGTCACACACAAAGTGCTCTTCGAGATCCCAGAACGCCATTCCCGGGCCACATTTAGAATAACCGGATGCAACAGTCACACACTTCGTGCTCTTCGAGTTCCCAGAACGCCATTCCCGGGCCACATTCTGGAGGGCCGGATGCAACAGTCACACACTTCGTGCTCTTCGAGTTCCCAGAACTCCATTCCCGGGCCACATTTTGGATGCCCGGAGCCAACTGTAGGCCACTTCGTGCTCTTCGAGTTCCCAGAACTCCATTCCCGGGCCACATTTTGAATGCCCGGAGCCAACTGTAGGCCACTTCGTGCTCTTCGAGTTCCCAGAACTCCATTCCCGGGCCACATTTTGAATGCCCGTAGCCAACTGTAGGCAACTTCGTGCTCTTCGACTTCCCAGAACTCCCATTCCTGGGCCACATTTTCAGCAGGGGCAAGAGCACGACGAGGAGGAGGACGAGCAAGACCAGGAGGACGAGGACGAGCAGGAGCAGGACGAGGAGCAGGAGGAGCAGGAGAAGAAGGACGAGCAGGAGGAGGAGGAGGACGAGCAGGAGGAGGAGGACGACCAGGAGGAGGAGGACGACCAGGAAGAGGAGGAGGAGGAGGAGGAGGGGAGGGGGAGGAGTACCAGGAGGAGGAGGAGGAGGAGGAGGAGGAGGAGGAGGAGGAGGAGGAGGAGGACGAGGACGAGGAGGAGGAGGAGGAGGGGGGGGGAGAGTACCAGGAGGAGGAGAACGAGGACCACCAGGAGGAGGAGGAGGAGGAGGAGGAGGAGGAGGAGGAGGAGAGAACACCAGGAGGAGGAGGACGAGCAAGACGAGGAGGACGAGAACGAGGACGACCAGGAAGAGGAGGAGGAGGAGGAGGAGGAGGGGAGGGGGAGGACTACCAGGAGGAGGAGGAGGAGGAGGAGGAGGAGGAGGAAGAGGAGGAGGAGGACGAGGAGGAGGAGGAGGAGGAGGAGGACGAGGAGGAGGAGGGGGGGGGAGAGCACCAGGAGGAGGAGAACGAGGACCACCAGGAGGAGGAGGAGGAGGAGGAGGAGGAGGAGGAGGAGGAGGAGAGAGCACCAGGAGGAGGAGGACGAGCAAGACGAGGAGGACGAGAACGAGGACGAGCAGGAGGAGGAGGAGGAGGAGGAGGAGGAGGAGGAGCAGGAGAAAGAGGAGGAGGAGGAGGAGGCAGGCTGAGGCTGAGGCTGTGACTGCGACTGCCGTTGCCGCTGCGACTGTCATCGCGAATGCGACTACGACTGCGAGAACAGCAGAATTCGACAACTGGATTTTCATCTGAATCTTAAGGGGAATGCTTTCAGATATGCTTCTACACATCGCTGTTAGGTTGCTTTGCCGGGATAATTTATTCCTCAAATACAGCTTTTGAAAAGGAGCAGGAGAAGAGCGCGAGGAAGATTGGGGAAGGAGGCGGCGAGGAGGACTTTCCCAAGGACGCAGTGGCCACTGGCGCAGGGAGGTCTCCGGTTCGGTCGGATTCCGGAGACGAGTCGCTGCAGCTAAGCTCATGAGCCCCCTCGGCCCACCGTTGGGAGAGAGCAGGCAGGCGTTTCAGGATCAGGCCCTCGCGAGAAAGCCGGATCGCCCTACTCACGAGGTCGTCGCGGCCCAGAGGGAGGGTCGCCGGCCCGCTGGACCGTGGAGCCGCCCCCTCGAGTGGACTCTCCCGCTCTGGTCCCCGGGTGATTCAGGGCCTTCAGATCGCCCGATCGAAATCGGCCAAGCGTTCAGACATTATGTTCCGAATTCCACCGGCAAAGTCTGAAAGGTTTTCCTTTTGTGCAAGAGGAGCTCATAGAGTGCTACGTTTTGGGGTGCTGTCGCCCGTTTCCTTGAACTCCCCACCTTATGAGTCCCTATGGTTGTTGCATCGTGTATCTACCGCCGGCTGGTGGCTCAAGCACGCGCGCGTGTATCTGCTGTAAAAGGTGCAGCGCCCCTTCCCTCCACATCTCCCACGCCCCAGCTCCCATCGCATCGACATGTGGTTCTAGTGTTGACGCGCTGCGAACACAAGCCAGCCTCAGGAGGGGTCCCAGAGGAGCCAAAACAGCCCCCAAGTCCCCAGACCCTTTTTATGTTGCGAACATGGCCAACAAGACGCACCGACCCACTCGAGACGCAAGGCCAACAAGGCTTCAAGGTAACCCAAGAAAGGCCCTGGACGGGCCCAGGAGGGGCCAACAAGGCTTCAAAATGGCGTCGCACTGTTTCACAGTCCAACGGTGGAATCATTTGTTCACAATAGTATGTTCATCTGGGGTCTATCGCGCGCTTTCGGACGCGTGCAATGTCGTAGAAAGAAAGTTTTTGGTGGTGTACGATCGCGTGGGAAGCCCAAAGCCCTGACCAATAGAGGCCCTGTTGTGCTGTCTTGGGGGCCTCTTGGGGGCTCTCGGGGAGTATGTGCTACCCTTTTGCGCTGTCTGGCGTGCCTCGGAGTCGTTATGGGCTCTCTTGCGCCGTCTTGGCGACCTCTTGCGTCGTATTGGTGCTCTCTTTGGCCGTCTGAGGCTTCTCGGGATATTATGTTGGGCTGTCTTCGGACCTCATTGGCCCACATTGGGGCTCTACTCCGGTGTTTTAAGCTGCCTTGGCCCCCCCGGCCCTCGCGGACGATTGAGGCCACTTAGGTCATTTTCTTTGCTTGCGTCAAAAGGAAATTGGATGGGCCCGGTGAAGTTTCGTCTCGGTGTTGCCTCTTGCGCTGGATGGGTCTGGAAAGGTTTCGCCACGTTGCCGCCTGTTGCCGCCTCGTTGCCGCCTCGTGCGCTGAGGGTGTCCGCAGAGGTTTCGCAACGTTACCGCCCGTTGCCGCTTCACTGCCGCCTACTAGCCTCGTTGCCGCCTCGTGCGCTGGGTGGGTCCGGCCAGGTTTCGCCACGTCGCCGCCCGGTTTTGCCGGCTCGTTGGCGCCTCGTGCGCTGAGTGGGTCCGGCGAAGTTTCGCCAAGTTCCCGCCCGCTTTGCCACCTACTAGCCTCCTCGTGCGCTGAGACTCTGAGGGGGTCCGACGAGGTTTCGCCATTATTGCCGTCTGTTGCCGCATCGGTGTTGCCTCCTGCGCTGGGTGGGTCCAGCGAGGTTTCGCTACGTCACCGCCCGTTGCCGATTCGTTGTAGCCTCCTGCGTTAGGTGTGTCTGGCGAGGTTTCGCCACGTTGCCGCCCTTGCGGCCTCGTTGCCGCCTCGCGCGATGAAAGGGTCCGCCGAGGTTTCGCAACGTTACCGCCAGTTTCCGCCTTGCTGCCGCCTACTTGCCTCGTTGGCGCCTCGTGCGCTGGGTGGGTCCGGCGAAGTTTCGCCACGTTGGCGCCTCGTGCGCTGGGTGGGTCCGGCCAGGTTTCGCCACGTCGCCGCCCGCTTTGCCGTTTCGGTGCCGCCTCACCACATAGCTTACACCACAGAGCTTGCAACACACAGCTTACACGTCTGCAGCGCAAAATCTTTCTGTTAGGGACGCTCCGAAGCTAAAAGTAATGGGAACTGTTGGCGGTTGAACGAATTTGGCCTCTCGGGGGCATTCATTGGCGGCATCCTAGACACCTCGAGCCGTCGTGGCGCCGCCTTGGGGCCTTCTGGACTCACGCTGAAGGCCATCTTGAACAAGTTTTAGCCACCGTGCGTGATCTTGGAGGACATCTGGAGCCCTTGGGGCGATCGTGCCGCCTCATGAGCGACCGCAGAAGCTCAAGGGGTTTGCGAATTGGTCGGTCGACATATCAGCCAATCAATCAGCAACGATCCCACTTGGAGATGGGACGACTCGCAGGGCTTGCAAATGGCTGCAAGCCCGCCATGAGGAGGCTTTTAGCCAGTCGTAGATAAGTCCAGATCCACTTGCAGCATGCCCCCGATATACTCTTTATTTCATGTTTCAGAAAAAGCAGGATTGGGGTTTTCCGAAGCAGCAATATCGGTCTCAGTGTTCACAGGTTTGGATTTCCCATGCGGTCCAGCGCCAACTTCTGGCAAGCCTTCCCTTCTTGTTCACTCGAATTCGTGGCAGTATCCTGGCTTCCGTGTGTTCCATTCGCTCGCTCTATCGAGGCCCACGGTGTTTGCCTGGTGTAGTTGCCGCCTTGCTGTCGTGCCTCCCGTTGGGGCCGTCTCCACGGCCACCAACAGCCCCACGGCCCCCCACCTCAGAGCTGTGTAGCCCGCTTGCCCTGGCCGCCACCTGCGATCGGCTTGGAGAAAGCGGCCCGCAGGAGTTACGACCCTGTGGAACCAAGCCCATCGTTTAGGACGCCGTGGCTCGGAAGCGCGACACCTCCAACAGGCTCAGGAGGGGGCGGGGAGGATTCGTGTGTGGCTCCTCCACAAGGACTGCGCCTGAGCAGGGCATCACTCACTCGCTATTGGGTGCTACCCACCCCGGGGGCGAAGCCAATCAAAAGTGAAGGCAGGTTGCCACAGGTGAGTGGAACTACGGAAGTCTTCCCTTGGTTACCCAGGTTGTGGGTAGACTGGGGGATTGTGCAGATAGTCGGTTCGATTGTAGATTCATCGATTCAACGAATCAGCATTAATGGCAGGTAGATTTGAGGATGAGATAACCCTGTGCGGGCGATAATAATCCCCCGGGGATAATAAAGTTCGGGGTTCTGGCGGGGATAATACAAGGCTTTCCCGCCCGATGACGATGACGATGACGATGACGATGATGATGATGATGATGACGATGATGATGATGATGATGATGATGATGATGATGATGATGATGATGATGATGATGATGATGATGATGATGATGATGATGATGATGATGATGATGATGATGATGATGATGATGATGATGATGATGTTGTTGATTATGATGGTGATGGTGATCCTGGGCGCTCGGCACAAGGCTGACTCGAGAGACGTCGAGGCTCGTGGCTATACGACTTGCCAGCAGGCGCACGGCACAAGGCTGACTCGAGAGATGTCGAGGCTCGTGGCTATACGACTTGCAGCAGGTGCACGGCACAAGGCTGACTCGAGAGATCTCGAGGTTCGTGGCTATACGACTTGCCAGCAATCGCACGGCACAAGGCTGACTCGAGAGATCTCGAGGTTCGTGGCTATACAGCTTGCCAGCAGGCGGTCGGCACAAGGCTGATTCGATAAGCTCGAGGCTCGTGCCTACATTTTGCCAGCGCAAGGGAGGTCCTTGGCCGATCTGGCCAAGAAACCTCTCTTGCGCTGGACTTCGAACCACTATCCCATGCAAGCACGGCATCATGTGGAGCCGTCTTTGCATGGGAGACACTTGCTGCAAAACTGGGCGGCGGCGCTTGCCTCCTCGAAGGTGGCGTGTTTCGGCTCGGCCGCCGTGGGGTCCTTGCACGGGTTGGACGTGTCCTTGGCTTTGGTCTTGGCTTTGGCCTTGGCCTTGGCCGTCACCAAGTCGTTGTCGCTGGCCTCCTTGAGTTTGTTACTGAACTCGTTGCCTCGAGCGACCATAGTGTTGAGGCTCACTGGCATTTGGCGGCCCTCGCCTCGGATCTCGCGCAGGGCGCGCTCGATCCAGCGACTCGTCCACAGGCCGCAGCTCCAACCGTCTCCTTGGTACTGTTTGTTGCTCGGTGCTGGGCAATTCTCGCCAGGGCCAATGGCGCCGAGCTTGTGGAGCATCCTCGAGGTGGCCTCGGGAGGCCACGTGCGGACCCGACCCACGATTTCTGAGGAGGAGGGCGGGGTTCACTTCGTTCGGCAGCTCCCGAACAAAGTGAACCCTACCTCCCCCCTCAGAAATCGTGGGATGTAGGTGTGAGTTCGCATGTGGCCCTTTGGGCCTGCCTGGCGTTATCGGACGGCTGCTTGAGGGCGCCGATCCTCGACACCTGCTGGGAATTGCTACAAGTGTCCCCTGCCCAGGGTGCTTCCAGGATTCGCTCCAAACCGGAGCGAAACGCTGGGGGTCACCTTGGGGGAGGGGCCATTGTAGCAACCGCCGACCTTGAGGTACGTGTAGTGCGCGGGCGCCTCGGAGTGCACGCAGACCAGCACGTGCTGGGCCTTGTCGACCCTCTCGGCCCAGCGCTTCTGCTCCTCGGGCTGCTGGCCGGCGGGCGCGCCCTCGCCCTGGCCTTGTCGAGCCCAGGCGACGGCCACCGTGGGCTCGACCGCTAGAACGTTTTCGGGCACGCCCACGCGCTCCTCGATCTCGCCCAGCAGCGCGCGCACTGTGCCCAGCTCGAAGGCGTCGCCCTTGACGACCTGCTCGCAGTTCATGATTGTGCACTCGTTGGCGAGCTCGGCGCGGCGAGCCTGTCTGGTCTGGCGCCAGTCTAGCTTGTGCGGCTTGAGGAACTTGTAGTTCTACTCGATCGTGACCTCTGGCGCTCGGGATTCGCAGGCGCTCGTTAGCTTCCGCCTGCTTCCGCATCGCGTTGCTTCCGCCTGCTTCCGCCAGCTTCCCCGTCAACTTCCGCCGCGTCCGCCGCCGTTTCCGCCAACTTCCGCTTGCTTCCGCCGGCCCAGGCAGAGGCAGGCGGAAGCTCACGAGTGCCCGTGACCCCCTACGGCCTCGCTGCTCTCGATCTGGAAGATCGCCGCGGTCTCCACCATGAGGGCGCGCAGGCGGCACTCGCCCTCGGTGCCCAGGACTCGCCAGACGTCCTGCACTCTGCCGCGCCTGCCCTCGTGGACGCCCCCCTCGGTGACGCGCGCCGCCTTGCCGTGCCAGGGGTGCCCCTCGCAAGCCTCGAGGCCCTTTTTCTGTTTGGGCTAGGCATGCTTCTTGGCGTCCGGCGTCCTTTGCCGCTTGCTTCTACTGCCTGGACTTCTTGGAGAAGCTCGCGCGCGCCTTCGGCGGCCTGCCTGTGAACTTCGCCTTCGCCGCGCCTCTACTGGGGCGCTCGAGCGAGGTCTCGCCGCCGTCATTGGCCTTCTCGCGCCGCCACTTGCGAGCGCGTTTGCCCGGGAACTGGCCCGCGAACTTGGACGCCCACGTGTTCTCGCGACGAGCTGCCCCTTTTAGCCTGATCTTGTTTTCGAGGGCGCGCGGGAACTTGATATCTTTGATCCGCTCCTCTGGCGTTTTGAGCACGTCCTCCTGCTCGTCGTTGAGCTCGAGGTCCAGCTCTCGGAGCTCCAGAAGGCAGAGGTTCTCGTCCTGCTCGCAGCCCCTCGGCAAGTCGTCGTTGTGTAAGCAGTTGCCGTCGAGGACGCTCCACTCGGGCACGGGCGGCGCGCCCTCGGGCCAGCTCTGGATGCCCTCGAAGCGCTCTTTCGCCAGGCTGTCCCCGATGCCGCGGCCGGGCTCGATGGAGATGCTCCGCGGCCCCATGCCCGCGACGACCTCTAGCTCGCCTTGCTCTGTCGGCCGGACCGCGAGCATTTGGTTGGCTCGCGGCCCTTGGAGCAGCACCGCGTCCTTGTTCTGCTCGCGGAAGCGGGCGTAGGCCTTGGAGACGCGGTAGAGGCACTCGCAGGGCCCCCATTGCGTCGGGAACTTGCGCTGCTTCTGGGGTTCGCCCCTGGCCCCCTGGATCCCCTAGGCCTTGACCTCTCGGATCTTGGCCTTGAGCTGGCTGTGCTCGCGGGCGTCGGGCTCTCGCAAGAAGCTCGTGACGTTCGGGGCCACGGGCGCGTAGATGACATTCTTGAGCCACGCTCGGAGCGCCACTGACTCGGCCCACTGGCTCGAGGTGCTGTCTGCGGGCTCTGGCCGCGCTCCTGCTCGATGAAGTCGATGGCCCAGCTCGCCGCCAGCTCGTCCGCCCAGGCTCTCGGCTGCCCCCGCGCGCGCCAATGGCCCCGAAGACGCTCGCGCGGTCCGCCTCGGAGGACTCGAGCAGAGCGTTGCGCCAGCCCTTGAGCAATGCTTCTAGGGGCTCGCCTGCTCGGAAGCGCTCCGCCTCGCCATCGCCCCGCTCGTAGGTGGCGTCGCGCCGCCTAGTGCCCTCCTCGAGGCTCACGTCGCTGACTCGGCAGCGCCGTGCGCAGGGGACAAGGGGCGCGCTGCTCTTCTTAGCGGACTTCGGCCCCCTGCTCGCGTCGAACCAATTCTCGACCGCGGAGATGTTGATGAGGGTGCTCCTGCAGTTGCCCCCTGCGCTCGAGTCGGCCTGCCCCACTTGCGCCTTGTGGTCGGGGTGCTCTGCCAAACACTTGGCCTTCTCCGCGTCGAAGGTTGCCTTGTCCTGGTCGTCGCGCGTCTCGCGGCGCTTCTTGCGGAGATTCTCGTTGAGTTTCTTGGCGCATGCGGCGTAGACCTCGCCCTCGCGGGCGCTCGCCTTCTCCTCGCCCCGGAGCGTGAGCCAGACCGCGGCGGCGTCGACGACGACCGCGCTCGCGCTGGACCTGCGTTGGGCTCGTAGTAGTGGTAGTGGTGCGATTACTATTAATAGTAATACTAGTAGTAGTACCTGGTGGTAGTAGTACTAGTTATTAGTAGCCGTAGTTGCTAGTAGTCGTGGTAGTAGTAGTGCGAAGAGTAGTAGTGGTACAACTACGAGTAGTAGTAGCAATCGTAGCTACGAGTACTAGTTATTAGTAGTAGTAATTACTAGTAGTACTCGGGCTATCTACTAGTAGTAGTGGTTACTAGTAGTCGTAGTAGTAGTAGTAGTAGTAGTAGTAGTAGTAGTAGTAGTAGTAGTAGTAGTAGTAGTAGTAGTAGTAGTAATAGTAGTAGTAGTAGTAGTAGTAGTAGTAGTAGTAGGAGTAGGAGTAGGAGTAGGAGTAGTAGTAGTAGTAGTAGTAGTAGTAGTAGTAGTAGTAGTAGTAGGAGTAGTAGTACTAGTAGTAGTATAGTAGTAGTAGTAGTAGTAGTAGTAGTAGTAGTAGTAGTAGTAGTCGTAGTAGTAGTTACTCGTACTAGTAGTTACTAGCAGTAGTAGTAATAGTACTGAGAGTAGTATCTAGTAGTAGTAGTAGTAGTAGTAGTAGTAGCAGCAGCAGTAGTAGTAGTAGTAGTAGTAGTAGTAGTTACTCTTGGTAGTTACTAGTAATAGTAGTAGTAGTAGTAGTAGTAGTAGTAGTAGTAGTAGTAGTAGTAGTAGTAGTAGTAGTAGTAGTAGTATAGTAGTAGTAGTAGTAGTAGTAGTAGTCGTAGTCGTAGTCGTAGTAGTAGTAGTAGTAGTAGTAGTAGTAGTAGTAGTCGTAGTCGTAGTCGTAGTCGTAGTCGTAGTAGTAGTAGTAGTAGTAGTAGCAGCAGTAGTACTAGGTACTCGTAGTATCTACTAGTAGCCGTAGTTATATGATCTACTAGTTGTACTAGTAGTAGTAGTAGTAGTAGTAGTAGTAGTAGTAGTAGTAGTAGTAGTAGTAGTAGTAGTAGTAGTAGTAGTCGTATTTGTATAC